AGCTCACAGAACTACTCATTTAACAATCTGTACGTAGGGACTGGCGTTGTGACATAGCAAGTAAAGCCGCAACCTGCAAATCCTGCATGCCTTATGGGTGCTGGTTCATGTCCCATTTGCTCCACTTCCAATCCAACTCTCTGCTAACGGCCTGGGAAAGCAGCAAAATATGGCCTAAGTGTTTGCATCTTTGTACCCATGTTGGAGCCCCGATGAAACTCGTGGCTCTTGACTTCAGCCTCGGCTAGCTTGGGCCATTGCAGTCATCTGGGGAGTGAAGCAACAGATGAAAGATCCCTTCTCTTTTTTTCTCTCTCTCTGTAACTTCATTTTCAAACAAATAAATATATTTTTTTTAATCTGTATATAATATTGTATCTAGTAGAGACTTCAAATAAGTTGTGGAAAATGGAATTGAAAGGCAAGTTAATTTTGGTAAAAAAATAGAAATGCATGCATACAAAGTTTCTTCAAAAAAAAAAGTCCATGGATAATGTGTATTATGAAAATAGGCACAGATTTCAATATTTTTGGTACCACAATAAACTTGTCTTTTAATTCCATTACGTATGAACTTTTTGAAATACCCTCATACTTTGTTAAACAGTACAAATCAGCTCCTTTAACTTTAGCTTAAAACCCTTTCATTGTTCAGGATTGCTCACAGCCTAACCGACCTCCCCTACCTCATGAGGCCCTACGTGATCTCTGCTAGAAATGCACTTGATCGTGACCACTGAGCTAATTCATCTTCAGAGATGGGAAAAAAGAAATCTCTCCTGATTTTAACCTCACCGTTTCTTTCTAACACAGTGATAATAAGAGCAGTCACAGATATCGTTTTATTCTATTGCTCCTGATTAGCTAGGGAACAGGGTTGAAAAATGTATGGGCATGTGGTTGGCAGGTAGAACTATCCCTTGGACTTGCATTGCTGAATTCTCGGGAAACATGCTTCCTTAAGAGACTGGGAACGGGCTCTGGGCGGGAGGTAGGAGTCAGAACTTGGACCAACCCTTGGTCTTAATAGCTTTCAAACCGTCGTGTGGATGATTGAACTGGAAAATGGTTATTTCGAAAGAGCCAGCAATTTTATCTTAAGAAAGATGGACGCTTCGGGAACACATTTAGGTCAGGTGGATACTTCGTTCTAGACAAAGACTGGGGCCGTTCAATGATGCATCTGCACAGCAAAAACCGTTCTCCAAAAACACGGCACTAAAAATGTTTGGCAACCGTTGTGAGCAGGCGCCTGGGGGCCGCTTGGCTGCACACTGCTGCCGTGGGTTTCCTTGCTCAACTGGTATCAGGCTCATTGTGTCTGCAAATGTTGCCGCTTCTTGGGAATGTAGGTTTTATTGAAACAAATGGTCACAGGCCAAGCGCCCCACCCAGGGACACCAAGGGCAATTCTGAGTGCTATGTGGGGACACGAGTGCCACCTGGTGGTACAAGAGCCTGAAAGTGGTGCTCATTCCCCTTCTCAGAACCCACTAGAAAATTGGAGGCACTGGGCTTCTCTGTAGGGGTCGCCCTTGGACAAGGGGAGGATAATGGTGGAAGCTTGTTGAGAGGCATGAGTGAGGGCCCCGTCTGTCTTTTGTGAGCTCTGTCCACCACTTAACAGCTCGAGCCAGTACACACTTCCCTTGCAGGCATGCTGCTGGGTTCCTGTGCAGAGTTCTTACATGGTGGGTGGGTGTACCCTGGGAGGAGGGAGGCGGGTTAATTCCACACGTCAATCAACACCCAGGTAAAAGGGCCTCAGCCAGAAATAGGACCCCAGGAGGTGGACTTTAAAGCAAGCACAGACGACCCTTACAGCGTCTTGGGCCTCACTCTCTGGAGACTAGACGTTGCTAATAGGCAGCAGTCACTGGGTACTCGTCAGAGGTCAGATCCCACGTGTTGAAGTAAACACCCCGGAAGTGCAACAGACCGCAGCCTGATGGCTAGGTGGTTGACAATGAACTTTCCTTGGAGTGAAAATCCTGTTTTCCAAGAGCATCTTGAAGAGACTAGACCTTTCCCAGCGTGAGAGCCTGAACTGAACCAGTTACTGCACTTGCCTGAAGGTTCTTTCCAGAACACAGCGGTGAGGAATCTGAGATTCTGCCCCCTGCTCCACATTTTCTTGGGTTTCTTTTATTCCCCCATCCCCTGCCCAGGCACTTGAAACAGCACACCAGGAAAGGCCATTCTCCCTCTCTTTAAGACTTCTAGGGCTTGAGGCTAAGAACTCCAACATGCACATCACTATCTCCCTAAGCTTTTCTGAGGGAGGTGGAGTTAACACCAAGTAAGCTGAGACTTAGGATCTCGCAATTACACAAAGAGAAAATAAGTTACTTGTTTCCCCCAAATTTGCAAACAAAATCCCAATATAACACCTACTTCAGCACAATTTATGCAATTTTTTTTTTTTTATAAAAGGAGTAAGGCTATGGGGCCTGTACTGTGGCATAGCGGGTAAAACTGCCGCCTGTAGTGCCGGCATCCATGTGGGTGCTGGTTCGAGTCCTGGCTGCTCCTTTTCTGATCCAGCTCTCTGCTATGGCCTGGGAAAACAGTAGAAGATGGCCCAAGTCCTTGGGCCCCTGTACCTACGTGGAAGACCCGGAAGAAGCTCCTGGCTCCTGGCTTTGGATTGGCGCAGCTCTGGCTGTTGCAGCCAATTGGAGAGTGAACCAGCAGATGGAAGACCTCTCTCTCTCTCTCTCTCTCTCTCTCTCTCTCTGCCTCTCCTTCTCTCTCTGTGGAACTATTTCAAATAAATAAATCTTTAAAAAAAAAAAAGGAGTAAGGCTCACAGGCTGTCTTAAGCAGACTGTGACTGAGAAAGTAGGAACCTGCAAGCCAGTTTCCCACGTGCTCAGGCTGTGTGAGGGGTCTTTCTCCAAAGCGAGGGAGCATCTGCCACCTTTGCACTGAGAGGTGCTCCAAGTAGAAGCTGCTGGGAGAAGGGCCAGCATTATGGCACAGCAGGTCAAGCCACTGCTTGCAGCACCAGCATCCCATATGGGCACCGGTTCAAGTCCCGGCTGCTCCACTTCCAATCCAGCTCCCTGCTAATGCGCCTGCGAAAGCAGCAGAGGATGGCCCAGGTCTTGGGCTCCGAACTCACATGGGGAGCTGGCAGAAGCTCTTGGCTCCTTGCTTTGGCCTGGGCCAGCCCTGTCATTGTGGCCATTTGGAGAGTGAACCAGCAGATAGAAGATTTCTCTCTGTGTGTCTCTCCTTCTCTCTCTGTAACCCTGAATTCAAATAAATTCATTTTATTTTTCAAAAAGAAGCTGCTGGGAGAACTTGGCCTCAGCCTCCCTGAGTCAGCAGCGGGGTGCAGAGAGACTTGGCCCCAGCACGCAGAGGTCCTCATTCCACCTCCAGGCAGCTCCCAGACAAGTGAATCCATGCCTCTGTGAGCACAGGAGGGTGGCACTGCATCCTTTTGTTTGGGAGCTCCCATAGGTGAGCCTGTTGAGAACACAGATCTTGTCTGATCTCGTCCAGTCCCATCCTGCGGTAGTGAGAACATTGAGGGGCAGTGTGAGAAGGGCCTTGACAATGGTCACCTAGCTACTTGGCCAGGAACCTGACTAGACTGTGAAGACCTTAAAGCCTTGAATTGTTTTAAATTTTCAATGAGTCGTTCTGTGATTGGGTGGTGTTCTGGCTGGTCCGGCCTAGACGTGACGGTCCACATGTGTGCTTGCGCACCTGCTCTCCCTGTGCTTTTCTCTCCACTGGAGCCCTTCCTGCCTCCCCGTCACCCTCACATGCCCCCTAACTGTACCAAAGCCTCACTGGGCCGTGGTGCCCAAGCCCAACTTTCCCAGGCCACGTCCCTGCCTTGTGTTGCACAACTGACTGGAGATGGCCTCTGTGCACTGCCCCCAGGTGGCTAATTTCTTCACTGCAGCCCTAGGCCAGACCGGTAGCTCGAAACTCCACTCAGCGCCAAGCTCATCCGCTTGTTATAGATCCGATTGTTTTAAACATCGCCCAGATGAGCAGGCTTGAAGCCATTTGATTCTTTCTGCTTTGCAAAGCCCATGAAACTGTACTCAGTACCTGCTAGCCATGGATTAGCAGAGGCCACAAAACCCCAAGCCTTCTGCCCCCTGGAGCTCTCTGACCCAGAGATCCCTGCTGCGCAACTGGGTGATGTCTCCCAGACACCTCAGCCCCCATTGCAATCCCCTGTCCCCTGAGACCCGCCGCCTTGCCCTCCTCCTCTTCTGAGTTGGACCCCACCTCCCCCAGTGACTCCTGGCTACCTCCCTCTAATTCAAACTGTCAAGGTGTCACTCAACATAGCTTCCTGCACTACTGCCACTTGGTGATCGGCTCACAAATCCCTAGAAAGCCCCTCCTCTCCTGGTCTTCCCCTTCCTCTGGCCCTCCTTCAAAACTGCCAAGTCCTCTCAAATTTCCCATCCAATCTAATAAATTAATCCCTATTGCTGTCTCCGTGATCAATTTACTGACCAGCCAAATACTCACGCCTGCCCCCTCTGCCTCTTGGCGGCCGGCCGATTCATAGCATTCACGGCAGGCGTATCCCTGCGTCTACCTCTGGGGCCCATCTATCTGTGCGTCCACCACACTGTAGTGCAATGCTGGATGCTTCAAACGGTCTCTAAATGAAATCACCCACTCTGCATGCCATGTGATTCTTGTGCCCCCACATCACGTCTGCCAGATTCATCCGTTTGTGCTGTGTGCTGCTACGTCCAATTTCTTGGCTGCAGCGTGTGGTGTTGTGTGTATCATGTGCAAATTCTACATGTGTATGCTTATTCTTCTGGGATGATTGGCACCTTCCCAGCAGGGCGATTTGCTCTGCTCTTATCCGGGCCCGAAAGGAAAAGGATTCTCAGCGGAAGTCATCAGACCCTGACCCCCCGGGGTTCGAGAGACTCATTGGCCTCCCCATCTCCCCTACACTCTGTGAGCCACACCTGGCAAGGCCAAGGACACAGCCAAGAGAGCAGGTATTTAGAAAATTTTATGGTAAAATAGAGCTGAAGTCACAGGAGCAGAGAACTTTTCACCCAAACCACACAACGCATATCCACAGAGTACTTGCTCAGGGCCAGGCCGGGTGCTCGGCCCCGCAGGCGCCTGAGACACACTCAAGTCCTGCGGCATGCTCCCCCGGGGCTCACCAGACAGAGGCAGGGCCATCTCTCCTGCAAGCCTCAGGGTGTCGGAATTGCTAAGACGGTCAAGGGGCAATTCTGGGACCCCTGCCGCAGCCGAGCAGGAAAGAGCTCCCGGGGGGGGGGGGCCAGACTTGCTCAGTGAGGGCATCGGGAGGGGAAGCGCTGCCTGCAGCTGTGAAGATCTGGAGTGCAAATGGTGTCAGGGCCTGGGCCGAGGGGCTCAGCGATGTTCAAAAAGGGGGAGCAAAAGTGGGAGCCAACGTAGTAGGCTTACTGTTCATCGTTACCATCTTGAACGTTACTAAGAGGAGAAAAAAGGGGAATAGGAGGTTCCTTTCTGTTTTGCACTTGGGGTGCAAATTATTTCACAATGCCGGAGCACGGCAGTCCCCCAGCCCCTCCCAGAAGGGACCTAACTGACTCTCCTTCACACTGAATACAGTTGGTAAACACAACACAAATCCAAGAAGCCCATTTTTCACGGACCCTTAACCTCCCCATGAGCCAGCATCTGCTTTAACACAGGGTGTGGGACCCACTCGGTGGGAAGACGGTGAGTGGCCTGGGGACAGCTGGGGCAGGGGTGCAGGAGGACAGCAGAGGTGTCAGGCTCGGCAGGTGGTCTGGGTTTTATCCGGAAGGCATGGAAGGATTTCAAGCAGGGGGCCGCCATGATTCAACTTGCACTTTAGAAAGACAATTCTGCGGACAGCCTGGAGGCAGGGCTGGCTGAGGGGGCGAGAGGCAGAGTCCTGTTTCCAGGGCTCTTGGGCCTCCGGCCACAGGTCTGCCCTGCAAAGGCTGCCGCTGGCAGGAGTGGGGAGGCAGTCCCTGGAGTCACTGATGAGCTGGGAGTGGAGAGAGCAGGTCTGGGCGGCGCTACTGGTCCTCCTGGAAGTAGAACTTGGTGACCACGATGGAGTCGTCGGGCGTGTTGGTGAGGCTGACGGGCTGGTCAGCCTCCAGGGCCGTGCAGAGAAACCAGCCCGGGCAGGAGGCAGACTCGAAGGTGGTGGTAGGGCCGCTATTGGAGCGGATGAAGGTGAAGCGCTTGTCCTGCTCCTTGTTCTTGCCCAGGTCAGTGATGTTAACGGCCTGCAAGTCAAGAGATGGGCAGCTGAGAGCGGACAGCCTGGGAAGACCCAGGCTGCCATCTTCTCCCCTCCCACCATGCCATAGCACTCCAGCCTGCCCAAAGCAAGTGCTGCAGAAACACAGGCTTGGAGACTGGTGGCTGTGGGACTATGCTAATAGAGGACAGCACTGAGAGAGAGAGTATCCTATTGTTGCACTTGGACTTGGGGAATCTGGCCCTTCTGGTCATGGGCCAGTAACTTTGGTAAATGCATGGCGCCGTGAGCAGACACCAAGGCCTGAGGGGGCTGGTGCTCAGGCAGGATTGGGGTCACTCAGGAGAGAGGGCGGTGGAGAACGGGGCAGAGAAAGTCCTGGCTGCTCCTATGTGCTACATGGGGTACACCAACCAGCCCTACTGCACATACAATAGGCAGTTGCCCTCCAAGAATGTAGAGGGAAATGGTGGTACCACAACTGTGGCCACACACAGCTGGGATAAATCTTGTCTATTAAGTGCCTGAGACAAAGCCTTCTTTTCTAGGGCTGGGTACCCCTGTTACTATTGCATAGGGTCCAGGAATGCAAGAGTCTGGTTGGGATGCCAACTAATCAGGTTGGGTAGATCAGGATTGGAAGAGAAAGTTCCCAATGGGTGGTTTTGCTCAAAGAAGGAAGGTATAAGTGGGATGGGGACCCTGTGAGCCAGAGAGTGGCATACTAGGACCCTGTGGGCAGGCTCGAGTGAATTGTACCTCCTAGTGTTTGCACCCTTATGTAGTCTCCTCCCACACTGAGACCAGACAGCCACGTGGCTGGCTTCTGCCAACAGGATGAGGCAAGCAGAAGTTTAATAAGCACTTGCACATTGAAGTTTGGCTTTTTGGGAGTCTTTCTTGGGAGCCAGCAGTCATGCTGTAAGGAAGCTCAAGCTGACCACTGAATGCTGAGAGCTCATGGGGACACACAGCCTGGAGGTTGAGAAACCATGTTGGACACCCAGGGCGAGCCACACTCCTGCTGAATGCAGCTGCAGGCGTGACCCCAGCGTGCTCCAGCAGGCATAGCAGAACTGCCTGGCTAATCCTCGCCAGCCCACAGAAGCAAGAGAAAGAATGAATGGTGGTTGCTATAGGCCGTTGGATTCAGGGGTGGTTTGATATCTACATCAGGTCCTTACCTCCAAATGGAGCTTCATCTTATCCCCAGACTTCACACAAGACAGGCACAACTTCCCCCTCTGGATGCCCAGGAACAGGAGCTGAGGCTCAAGGGGCACCACATCTATCCTTTCTGGGGAAGAGCAGAGGGGAGGGTCAGGTTAATGCAGAGAAGTAGGCAGAGACTGTGGAGAAACTCTGGGTATTTTTCCATCTTCCCATCTCCACTAAAAGCCCAGCGCCAGAAGCACAGTGCAGTACCGTCTTCCTGTGTCTGCATCCAGACAGAGGATCAAGCCGAGCGCACCACCCAATTCCTCCCGAAGGATCAAGCTGCCTAGAGTCTGCTCCGTGTGGTCTCCGCCCTTGCCTCACTGCCCCCCAGCATGCCCGTGGTCCAGGTCAGCAGGCTCCATGCACAGGGAACCCAGCTCACAAAGTCAGGAGTGCACTCTACGGAAGTGTGGGGCTTCCAATCCCATCTCTCCCCCTCGGCGGTCTCTGTGCCCTCACATAGCAATAAAAATCTCAACCTCTGTGCTCAGTGTTTTCACTAGGATTGAGAGAGACAGGCAAGGTAGGCTTGGGGCTCTTTCAGAGTGAGGCGAGGGGCAAACAACAGGGATGGGGCAGGGAGGGAGATGGAGATGATGCCACTCCCCAGCACCAAACAGAGAGCAGAAGACATGGATAATACCGGTGCTGAAAGAACCTCACATCCTCCATCCAACTGCCCTTGTCTGACCATAGGGAAAACTGGGCAATGGAGCGGTTGAAGCTTATCCAGCTTCATCCAGCTTGCTTAGAGCGTGGACCAGAACATGGCCGAGTGTGATGGCCACAGGAAAGGACACGGTCCAGCCTTGTGTATTAATCTGAACATCACAGGAGGAGGGGCAGGATCCATCTCGACTTTTTGTTCCTGCCACTCCCAGAAATGGCCCCTGGATCTGGGTGCCTATGGGGGGTAGCTCTTGAACTGGACTCTACCTCCCCCCACCGCTGCCCTCTTGAGGCTGCCCTGGGCTCTACCCTCCAGGGGCCAGGTCTTCCCAGCCTCAGACTCAGGCTCAGACTCCGCAAAGAGATAAGGCTGTTGCAGGTAAGGTTTGGGGGAGAGGCCACAATGCTGCACACCCCGGGGGCAGAGGAGCTCAGTGCCCACGCCACATTGGCTCTCCTGGCAACCACTCACCTTCTAATTTGGCATTTGGGCCTTGCAAGTAACCAGCGACTAGTTGGTTGTTTCTCAAGTAGAAGGTCTTCTGGTTAACATCCCAGATTCTGAAAGGCAAGAGGACCTGGCGGTAGTGGACAGCTGCTGCCTGCCAAGCCCTGGGCCCAGCACCCTTCTTTCAGTGTCCCCCGGAGCTTCCGAAATTTGCAACCAACTCTGTCCGAGGGCTGGCACGTTAGCACGCCCATAGCATGGGTGAGAAGACTGTGGCCGATGCTGCCTAAGACACAGGCGTAACTCCCACAGCTGGTGATGGACAGTCCCATCTCTACCCCTCTCTTTACCTTGCTCCTCACCTCAGATTCCCAGGGCAGGCACTCTGCTTCAACAAAGCGTGCCCTGGAGCACAAAATTCCATAGGAGTTCCTGAGCCACAGAAACACCCCCATCTGCCCTATCTGATGTGGTAGCCAAGGGGCACGCGCGGCTCCTGAACTCTTGAAATATAAGTAGTGAGCGCAAGCATCTGGATGCTTGCTTTTCTTCTATTTTCATTCATTTAAATTAAATATAACGCAGCACCTGAGACTAGTGGCCACCGCGGCACAGCCTTAGCAAATTCAACGGACATAGCGCATGGCAGCTGACTCTCTAAGCCTTGGACTAAGGGAAGGGCCTTTCCTCCATCAGCCTAGGCCCTGTTGGGCCCAACAAGGGCAGCCAAACCTGGGAACAAGTCAACTTCCTGTCGGCTCACCCGCTAACCTGCTTGGGGCTCCCATCCTTTCTTCTTTGGGGAAGGCCTGATTGCTAGTGGGGCTGGCAGCTGTGGGCCATAGTCAGCAGAGCCCTTTCCAGTATGACCTTGACCTGGGCCTCCCCCTCTTCGTCCACGAGGTGTGGCTAAGAGCATTGGCCTCATCAGACGGCTCTGAGCAGTGCAAGTGCTCCATAGGGGCAAACAGGAAAGTGATGTGCATGAATGAGCATTGGGCCTTTTTAAGTTTCCTTAGTCCCCGGATGAGCCTCAGTCTGAAGGGATTCAGTGTCCCTGTCAGAGGCCTCCAGGGCATATCCCGGAGTCCCCAGCAGCCAAGGGGCAAACCGCGTGAAGCAGACAGCTCTACATCTGGGAAGAGAGGGACCTTGTCTCGGAATGCACGCACACACACACACACACACACACACTCTCTCTCTCTCTCTCACAGGCTCACGAAGTCCCGACCTGGAGCCGCAGACCAAAAACCTGCAGTAGCCCCAGGTGGCTGCAATGCTGGGATACACAGGCAGAGGGCATGCGCCCACAGCACTCAGCATCACCGCCTGTCAGTTAACAACAGGGATGGGGGCAGCTCCTGGGACCGCTGATCTGATTTTAAAATCACGGTTGTCTCAGGCACTTCACGGCTTACAAACACCTGCCATGTGATTCTCTGTGCAGTTAGTTAGTTTTCCATCAACCAGGGCAGGCCTGCCGTGAGTGCTCCTGAACAAGAGGGGAAACTGGGCCCAGGAGCGTGAGCACCTCTAACGTGACAATGCACTCAGTCTGGGCTTGTGGGCTCTGCCCTCTCTCCTTCTCTGCCAGCACCACTCCCTGGCATGTGCCCATCACTTCTGGAGCTTCCAGACCCTCTGGGACAGTGAGCCAGGCCTGCTACCCAGCTCGCCGTGTCTGGGGTATTTGGAAAAACAAGCCTTGAGGGCCATGCGTGGGGCAGCCCCTTCCTGAATCACACACATCCCTCCATGACTCAAATCCGGTTCTGAGACGCTGCAGCGGGATGCTCCCCATTGTCCGGCCCAGCCACCGTCCGCCGCGGCCCGGCCCAGCCTTACCTGAAGGCCTGCATCCTGCAAGGTCTTTTCCCAGAAGGGCGGCAGGCTGTCTCTGAATGGAACAGGAAGAGGAGGAGGGAGATTAGGTGCCTGCGGGTGCTCCTGGAGGGTCTCATCCTGAGGCCACGGCAAGGCAGTGGGCACTGCCATTGTGGACCCAGAGTCGCCGCTTATAAAGAAGGTGAGCACTCACCCAAACCAAGCTGCTGCCGTCCTGTCCCAGCCTGACAAACGGAAATACCCTCACATTTCCAAAAAGAGAAACCCTGGCTGGTGTCACCTTCAACCCCACTGAGTGTCGCAACGGAGTGTCGTAATCGGTCTCCTCCCCTTTTTCCTCTGTGCAATTTCCCCAAAATCAAGATTTCTGTTTCTCCTTCCTTGAGTCCCTGGGAAGCAGAGCGCCATGGAAACCCAACTCCCTCATCTGCCTGGCAGGTGCCGGGGGACTGTGTGCACCTGGTCTGAGCAGACAGGTCCCCCTGTCGTAATAAGGCCCAGTGATAGGGCTCCCAGTGTCAGGTCACTCTGTGTACTTTGAACAGGGGACAGCCTGCTGGACTGTGTGTCAAGGGCTGGCAAACATTCTGTGACAGACCAGATAGTAAATATTTTGGGCTTTATGAGCCACGGGGTCTCCGTCACGATTACCCAACGCAGTTGTCATTGCACGAAAGTAGCCAGGGACGGTCTGTAAACCCACGGAGCCAGCCTGTGTTTGTGCCAATACAACTTTATTTACAAAAACAGGAAGGGAACCAGACTTGGCCTGAAATCTGTCCCCGCTCTCAAGGGTGTCCTTCCTGGGTAGTGCTTTGAAAATGACTCCCTTCCCACTAACGCACGTGTTCATAAAGTCACGATCTTGGGAACACAGAGTGAACTCACCCCTGGGACAGACATGAGTCCACCTTGGTCACTTGACTGCCACCGTGTGACCCTGAACAAGCTGCTTCTCTGACTGGCGGTGGTCGTGTCTCCCCAACAGGTGGAAGGAAGGAAGGGAAGGAGGGAGAGAGGAGGCGCTCCCGGCCCAGAGCGGGCACTCCGTAAACAACAACTTCCGGCCTCGTCATGTTCTGGACATGAGCAAGGCAAGCGGGTTCCTCTGTTACGGATAGAAAAGCCTTGATCGCTGTGCGAGGTGGTGCTGATTGCATTGTCTGGGAGCTAATGGCAGCTGAGCGGTCACCATTGCCTACCCTGGCATTGCTTTAAAGAGGATCGGGAGAGACTCAGGAAGGGGACAGGACCCACTCAAGGTCACCTGGCCGGCTGTCGGCCAAGGCATGCCCAGGCGTGTGTCCTCCCAACGCAGCAGCTGGTCTCAGTGTCTAACTTCATTTTCAGCTAACGAACCAGAAGCTGCTCAGATACGCAGCAGTTAACACAGAATGCAAACACACACACACGGACACCTTATGGCTGGATTACTTCTCTGGGACAGTGGTCTTCCTACTTTTTACTTGCTGAATATTATGATTCATGGTGTATTACGCCTGTGATTATAAAGTAGATTGAAATCATGTTTCTGCAAAAATTAAAGAAAAACAAAAAAGAAGGGAAAGAAGTAGAGGGGTTGAGAGAGGAAGGGAAGTATGGTTATTTTCTTAGAACTATACCTATGAAATACATGAAATCTGTTCTCTTTTTTATATTAATAAAAATCTTTAAAAACCACAGGCTGTGTGCAAATAAGAGTGAAATGTCTCAAAACAGGAAGGCTACACAGACATTTCCTAAATCTGTAAGGAGCTCCTCTTCCAAGGCCGATGGGGCATTCCTGCAAAGTTGTGTCAGTTCCCTGGGTGACTGCTGTGACTGGCACAAAAGCAGGTACTCACGCTTACGCTGCGCTCACAAGTTAAGTGAGTCGCCTGCTTTGAAATGCATTTGGGAAGCAATAACTCTCCTAGAAGGCCTTGGGGGAGTTGTGTTTGTCCATTTAGCCGCTTCTGTTTGTTTGTGTGAGGGCTGGCTGAAGGAGGCAATGCGTGGGAACCCACCGAGTTATTTGCCACTTCCAGAATTTGTTGACTTAGGGTTTGACATTTCTGGAACTGTCATTAATCATCAGGCACATCATGCTGGCATCACACCTGCTGAGAGGGAAGGCAGCTAGCACGTAGCTGTGCTGGGTCTTCTCCTCCTTGTGCTTAAGCTTCTTCTGAAACCAGCTGGAGTTTTAAAACCAGCCCTGCTCCCAAAGTGAGGAGGCGTGGTTTGCCAGGCTGGGATGGAAGGGCTCTTCCTGGCCCTAGTCTGCAGATGGGGTCCCGCCAAAGGTCACACCTTGTATCACGGCTCCTCTCTGGCCCACATTCCAAAGGAGAGATTTCTCCAGAACGGAAGCTCCAGGCTCTCAGACTGTGCTGGGTCTGTGCCCTTTTCCCTCTGTGTCCCCAAGAAGTGGCCCAGCATGGGGAGGTTTGTGGGGTATGTGGGGAAGGAGTCCTGGGGGCATGGCCTGTGAACTCAGGCCCACCTGGGTCTGAACCCTCCCATTAGGAGCTGGACTACCTCAGACAATGTGTGGAGCCTGTCTTGGTGGCGGTTTCGTTGTCTGTGCGATGGGGCTAATTGCAGAAGTCGTGCCATGAGTTGCAACAAGTATTAAAGAGAGATGGCATGTGACCACTGAGCCCTGATCCTGGCACGTGAGAAATATTCAAACAGTAGTGATGACATGTGCCTCCTTACCCCTGGTAAGGGGGGATAGAGCATTCACACTGCCCCAACCCCTTCAACCCTAATGCTCTCCTGGGTTCCCTGCTCTGCACACCAGCCCACCCTCCTTTCCCTGTTTCCACATTCCTCCATGTATACTGACCCACACTCCTTTCCCTATGTACTGAGCCAGGCTTCTCTCCCTGTGTACTGACCCACATTTCTCCTCTAGCATACTGATCCACACTCCTTTCCATGTGTACTGAGCCGGGCTCCTCTCCCTGTGTGCTGACCCACATCCCTTTCCCCCTCCAGTCCCAAGCCTGTAGTGACTCCAAAGGAAGGGAGCCCCACTCATTCTGGGTTGGGAGGAGGAAGAATGAGAAAGGGGAAGCTCTCTCCTCCTCACGCTTCTGGCCACAATTCCACTCTTGGTTCCGTTAAAGCTCACCAAGAGTTGGTATCCCTATGATTTCTGCCCACAGGGCCTCTCTGAGTCAACTCATTCCTGGCTGTGGCCACTCAGTGCTGCACCGGCTTCCCAGGCAGGGCTGTACGAGCAGAGCGCACAGTGCACTCAGTCTCCCACATCACCACCGCTGCCCCCTGCACACTGAGCCCCTCCTACCAGACATGGGTGACAGCAGAAGGGACAGGGACTCCCTCAAAGGGGCAGGCTAGAAAGAAAAGCCCTTCCACGCATAGACTGTGGGCCTGGAGGGGGCAGCCGCCCTCACGCGTGTCTCGGGTTGAGGACTGTGACGTGTTAAGCACAGCCCCGGCCACATAGGAAGTGTTCAATAAACGCTAACTATTACTCAATGTCAGTTAATTGCATCTTTCAGTTCTAAGATTGCCATGCGTTTCCTTTTTTTGGTTCTCTATGAAAATTTTCCATCTTATCATTTAAATCTTGAAGCATATTATCCACAGGTCTTTTACAGGCTGAATCTGAAAACTCCATCACCCACATCCCAACTGGGTCCCCCCGTTACTGCCTGGTCCTCCCTAGTGCACAGGTTGTCTTACATTTACCTGACTTTATCCTGACTGCTGGACTCCGTGGACTAAAACTGGGGATCAAGGCTCTGGGTGATGATGGCTTTCTCCTAAGGCAATTCACTCTGTTGTTGCCAGTCGGTTGGGCCAACACCGTGGCTGCAGGTGACCTTGACCCAAATGAGACAGGAGATGATTCTGGGGTTGGCTTCAGTGTCTGTGAGGGCTGCTCCACTTCTGGCTCCCTCCCAACCCTCTGGGGTCCCAACCCAGACCAGGAGGGATGTATTAGGGCCCCTCCTCCTAAGTAGCATGTTGGGCGCAGATGTGATGCCACCTCCCACCTAAAGGCCTCAAAAGCTCAGCTGCTGCCTCTTGAAATCAGCAAATGCCTGCAGGGATCCAGGACTCCAGTACACAAGGGTGACTGCGGTTTACGACAATATATTAAACATTTTATAAGGGACTAGAAGAGAAGAGTTTGGAGATTTCCAGCACAAAGTGAAGATACATGTTTAAGGAGGTGGAAATGCTAACTGCCCTGATGTGATTGCTACACACTGTACATATGTCTTCGATTATCATTCTGCACCCCTCAAATACATACAGCTATTATGTCATTCAAGTCTTGCTATTCAGGATGGCTGGAGCTTCAATGGCCTTTAGGGGGCAGGAGATAAAATGAGAAGTTGGGCAAAAGCCGAGGAGCAACTGCCTTCCATGCCATCCCAAGGAGTTGGGGGTTTTTCTGAAAGAAGTAGAGCCACAGAGTGATGTTGTTAGACTTAATTGATCCGAATCATCCCGGGGACCGTGGACTGATGCATCAGACTTGGATAGGAGTGACGGAGTCTGGGGGCAAGGGCAGCAGTCAGTGTTTAAACTGGAACTTCAGAGTAAGTTTCGATTTGCAGCGCTTGACGAGGTCTGTGGTGTAAATACTCCCACACACCGCTGACGATCACAAGCCACCGACGACGACGGGACGTCACTCAGCAGGGAGCTGGAGAGACGAGTGCTGTCTGACCTTGCTGGCTCCTGCATTCGGGGGTTGGGGGGGGGGGCGTCTAACTGCTCTTGAGTCTTTGTAGAGAGAGAAAGCATCTATACGTTTTTCAACTCCAACTTCCCTCCTCCTCAACCCAAATGGCGCACCCCGCAGGTCCCATCCCCCTTGCAGAAAATCATCGTGATTGATAAACGCAGCTGACCAGGGAGCCTCTGTGAATCTTAGTGCAAACATTTCCAGCTGTGCCTCCTGCACCTGTGTTTGCACACCCCATGCTTCAGACTCAGCATCCCACTTTGACAAGATAGGAGTGCACTCAAGTTGTAATGGCTTTATCTTGTATTTATACTCTTTAAGCAATTTATTTGAGAGGCAGAGTTACAGAAAGGGGGTGGGGAGAGATTGTTTATCTGCTGGTTCACTCCCTAGATAGCCACAATGGCTGGGGCTGGGCCA